GTCATTTTTTCTTTAAACAGGTTCTTTATTTCTTGCTCACTTTCTTTTCCTTCTTGTACCCCTATGATGCGGATGGTTTTACATTTCATGTTGCCTCAAAGTTCTCTTAAACTATACTCCTGCTTTTTTTTTGTTCTTTTTGCTGCGCTTATTGGGTGCTTTTTTCTACCTTGTCTTTCAAATCACTGATTCAGGCTTCTGCCTCATTCAGTCTACTTTTGATTGCTTTCGGTGTGTGTTTTTTTGAATCCTCACCTGAGGACATGTTTTTTTGCATTTATCTTCAGATAGAGGGAGAGAGGGAGGAAGAGAGAGAAACATTGATGTGAGAGAGACACATCGAGTGGTTGCCACCCACAAACCCCAACCGGGGCTGGGGACAAACCTCAACCGAGGTACATGCTCTTAGCAGAAACTGAACCCGGGGATCTCTGGTCTGTGGACTGACGCTCTAACCGCTGAGCCAAACTGGCCAAGGCTTCCGGTGTGTTCTTGATGTCATATATGTTATTCTTCATTTCTGCCTGATATTTATTTATTTATTTATTTATTTAATCTTTATTGTTTAATGTATTACAGATGTTCCTTATTTTTCTCCCATTGAACCCACTCCTGCCCCCCTCCTGCCTTTTCCCACACTGTTGTCTGTGTCCATTGGTTATGCATATACACATATAAGTTCTTTGGTTTATTTCTTCCCACCCCCTAAACCCTTCTTTCCTTTGAGGTTTGTCAGTCTAGCAACCAATTTGTTCTTCTTAATCCCTTCACCTTTTTCACCCATTCCCCTGATCCCCCTCCCATCTGGCAACCAACAAAATGTTCTCTGTATCTATGAGAATGTTTCTGTTCTGCCTGTTCATTTTGTTTGTAGGTTCCATTGTTGGTAGAAATGTATTCATTGCCATTTTGGTTGTTTATATATTTTACCTTTTTCTTCAAAAAGACCCTTCAACATTTCATATAATAACGGTTTGGTGGTGACAAACTCCTTTAACTTTTTCTTGTCTGGGAAACTCTTTATATGGCCATCGATTCTAAATGACAGCTTTGCAGGATAGAGTAATCTTGGTTGTAGGTTCTTGCTTTTCATCACTCTGAATATTTCTTGCCACTCCCTTCTGGCCTGCAAAGTTTCTTTTGAGAAATCAGCTGACAGTCTTATGGGAACTCCCTTGTATGTAACTAACTGCTTTTCTCTTGCTGCTTTTAAGATTCTCTCTTTGTCTTGAACCTTTTGCATTTTGATGATGATGTGTCTTGGGGTTCATCTTGTTTGGGACTCTCTGTGCTTCCTGGACTTGTATGTCTGTTTCCTTCACCAAGTTAGGAAAATTTTCTGCCATTATTGTTTCAAACAGGTTTTCAATTTCTTATTCTTGCTCTTCTCCTTCCGGCACCCCCAAGGTGCAAATGTTGGCATGCCTGAAGTTGTCCCAGAGGCTCCTTACACTATCCTCATTTTTTTGGATTCTTTTTTCTTTTTGCTGTTCTGATTGGGTGTTTTTTGCTTTCTTATATTCCAAATTGATGGTCTGCTTCTTGGCTTTACCTACTCTGCTATTGAATCTATGTAAATTATTCTTTATATCAGTTAGTGCCTCCTTTGTTTCTGACTGGTCCTTTTTTATGCTCTTGAGGTCCTCACTAAGTTTGCTGAGGTTCTCACTAAGTTCATTGAGCATCTTTATAAGTAGTATTTCAAACTCAGCATCTGTTAGGTTGCTTATCTCCTTTTTGCTTAGTTCTTTTCCTGGAGATGTTTTCTGTTCTTTCATTTGGGACCTGTTTCTTTGTCTCCTCATTTTGGCTTCCTCCCTGTGTTTGTTTCTATATATTGCTTAACGGAAGGTTATGGGGCTAGCTGAGACCAGATGCTGCTCGTTTGAAAGAATTTAGGAAAATCTGAAGCAGGATCCAAGACAGGCCAATCCTGTGGTTAAGCAACTGGCAACAGTTTGGGTGGGCCTGAAAGTTGGGTGGGGCAGGGCCTCAGGGAATCAACAGGGCGGGGCCACCAGTGTGAGCCAGGTTGCTGGAGTCCCAGATATGGCAGCTGTCTGCTGCCCCAGGGAAGGGCTCACCAAAGGAACAAAGGCTTCTGACAGCACGTCTGTCCAGGAGAAAGTCCCCTCTCCAGCCCTTTCTCCAATGCCAAACAGCTCAGTTCTTCCCTGTATGTCTCTGGTGCCCCTGGAGCTGCCTCTCCTCTAAGCTTAGAGGGAGCAAGTCCGAGTGAATTCGTGCGCGGGCCCTGTAAGAGGAGCTTCCTGGGGCTCCAGCCGTCTCAGCCTCCCTGAGCCTGTTTCCGCTGGGTTTTCCAGACAGAAGTTATGGGGATTCTCTTCCTGGCACTGGAACCCCTGAGTTGGGCGCCTGGTGTGGGACAGGGACCCCTCAGTCCTCAAGGAGGACCCTCCCAGCCAAAGTGTCCTGATGTTTATCTGCCACACATGGGTGTGGGACCAGCTTGTCCGCCTCCACCCCTCCTACCAGTCTCGATGTGGCTGCTTCTTTAATTTTGTAGTTGTAGGACTTCCATTCAGCTTGATTTCAGGCGGTTTTGAATGATGGTTGTTGTGTAGTTTAGTTGTAACTTTGATGTGGTTGTGGGAGGACGTGATACCACGTTTACCTACGCCGCCATCTTTACCGGAAGTCTGTCTGACTCTTATTTATGTTTTCTATTTCTTATTTCATGCCGTTGTAGTTTCCATTAAGTTTCTTGGAATTCTCATTAAGTTCCTTGAGCATACTTATAACCATACTTTGAACTCTCTCTGATAAATTGCTTTTCTCCATTTCGTTTAGCTCTTTTTCTGGAGTTTTCTCCTTTTCTTTCATTTGTGGGTTGTTTCTTTGTCTCACTATTTTTGCTGACTCTTTGTATTTGTTTCTATGTATTAGATCAAACTGCTATGCCTCCCAGTCTTCGTGGCGTGGCCTTAATGTAGTAAGTCTGCTGTGGGACTCAGTAATGCAATATTAGATCTCCTGAGCTGGGTGGTCTAGGAGTGACCCTTGTGTGATTTATTTGGGCTTTCCTGATATAATTGGGTCTTGAATGTTGTTTTTCTGTTTGTGGCTATAATCTCCTCTCAGGCTGGCTGATTGTGAGACTTAATCCCAATCACGTCATGCAAGATGATGTGCAGGGCTGACAAAACAGAACTAAACACAATACGGCAAAAACGTACAAAAGACCCCTACAACCATAAAAAAGTGACTAGGGAAGAGAGAAGAGAACAAGGATAAGGGAAAAAAGTATCAGGAGAGAAAAAAGTGGGAAGAAAAAGTATTATGAAAGGGCAGAGGTAAAAGAAATAAAATAAGAGCAGAGAATAGGGGAATGGAAATGGTATTTAAGAAAAGAGGAAGAAAAAAATTATGAAAAGAAAAATAGAGGAGAAAGCAGAAAAGCACAAAGGAAAGGGAAATTACTTAAGCAAGAGAAAGAAGAAAAACTAGAGTAGAGTAAGGAAAGGGAAGGAAAACAGAGACTAAAATAATATCAAAATAATAAAAAAGATAAAGAAAACAGTTGGTAGTCTCAGCAGTTTTAGTGCCTCCTGAGAACTTTTTTTTGATACTGCTCTACTTAGGTGCTAGCTAATCAAACACTGTCTTCCTTGACTCTTAGCAACCTGTTTGCATCTTCAATCTATCCAGGGAACTTGGCTGCTCGAGGGAGGGGCCAAGCTGCACTCTAAAACCAATTTGTTGGAAGCAGCTACCCAGGGTTGGATCAGCAAACTTCCCTAGGTTCCCTGGGCTGTGTCTTTATCCACCTTAGCCTGCCAACCAGCTGTCAATCTTAGTCAATGAAAAGTATATTTCTGAAAGGGCTTTAGGCAGAATTGAGGTTATAAAACCTCTGGGTCTCTCTGAGGGGGAGGTGCTGTTCAGTTTTCAAAGAATGTGGTGGGTGTGTTTCTTGGCCCCATTGCTCTAGCTACTCCTCTGAGAGTGATCCAGAATATTTCCCTGCTCTTGGCCCCAGCAGAGATCCTCGTATGCAGTCCAGTGGGATCAGCTGGAAACTGGGTTTCTATCAGATCTCCCCAGAAGAAAGCACCAGTCATGTTTTCAGGGCAGTGGGGCAGATGGCTCTGCCCCCAGGCTGGTCACTGATAGTCTCTGAGCCTGTTCAAACCAGTAGACTTGGCCCCTTACTGCTGTCTCCTTTGCAAGGGTTAAGGTGCAGGGTGTAGGAGGCAGTGTTCCTGAGGGTGGGGCAAGCTGTATCCCCTAGGGCGGAGTGTTTTCCTTTACCTGAGCTGTGGCTTCTGGGAGGGGTAAACTCCTCTCAGGAGAAATGACCACTTTGGTTTGGGGGAGGCATTACTGGATTTGGGTTACAGTGAACACCTTTCCATGTCCTTCCCCAATACTTCCCACCTCAGCCTCTCCTCAGGCACTTCCAGTCCGCACTCCCCTCTCTTCACTGAAGCCTCAAGTAGTAGGTGTCAATGAAAATCCTGTGCTCTGGGTTTTTTTCTTTTTTTAAAAAACAAACAAAAACAGAAAGAAAACCTGCGGCTTTATCTCTCTCTACCCAGCTCTTGTCTCCTCAGGGCCAGAAGTCTTGTCACCCTTCACGGCTGGATGTTATGGGGCCTGGATGTTATTGGGGTCGCTGTTTTCGACTCCAGTGCTCAAGTCTGGGGGCCCCAGCTGGGGGTGGATTTTGCTCCTCTCAGGGAACACTCCCCCCAACCCTGGCCTGCAGCTGAGAGATTTCTCCTTTCTCAGCCTGCAACCCATGGAAGCAGGCCAGACCCTCTCTGAATCTCCCTTCTCCTACCAGACTCCTTGTGGTTTCTGTTCTTCCCTGCTTTGTCTCTTCTTCAGCTGGATCTCAGTTGGTAATGCTGAGTGAATGTTCCCTAATTTGGTTTTATTTCCAATCTGGCCCTGGGAAAAGGTATAAGAAGGTCTGCCTATAAGGCCACCATCTTCCCCTCCTACGCATAACTTTTAATTCATTCCATATCCTTCAGGTAAAAAGAACGTATTCTCACGGTACTTACAGAGCTGGCCCAATGCGACAAATCAGCTTGGTGGGAGCAGTTGATGAAGAAGTGGGAGATTACTTCCCTGAGTTCCTTGACATGTTGGAAGATTCACCATTTTTAAAGGTAAGAAAAAACAATATCAAGCAATCTAAATTGTGGGTGTTACTTTCATGCTACAGGTGGTACAGGTGTTTCAGAATTATAAAAATTTTTCCTTTATTTGAATTGGATGGAAGGAAAGGAATTGATGAGAAACTAAATTCCAGTGTAGTGTGTGTATGTTTATGACTTCTCAGGTACTAATTGTAATGGTGAAGCTCAGAGGTGGACCAGAAAATAACACTTGCCTGTTACTGCCACGTTAGGGAGTTCGGTTTCATCTGTTTAGTAACTAAAGACTGAGTACCAGGGGATTTAAGAAGTACAGGAAGGATGTCTACTAAATTAAAGTGCTTAGGAGAGAAGAGAATGACCATTTGTCATTGTGGAAAACTGGTCTGGGAAATTGTATCTGCATTTCATTCTTGGCTATACCTCATTGGGTTGGGCAAGCCATTTACGCTTTCTAGTCTTTATTTTCCTTACCATAAAATAGGCATTTAAAATATGTAGCTTAAGGTCCCTTTAAAGTCTTTAAAAGATTCCATCCCCCCCCCCCCCCCCCCCCCGTAGTCTCTGCATTTCAGGAAATATTTATTTCTTGTGGGCTGCTGGGGCTACATTGAGAGAGAAATCGCTGAGTTTTATGGTTAGGTTGATTATTTATTTAGTAATTCAAAGGTCAGAATGTGACAAGATCAGTTTATCACTACTGTTTGCAACATAGTATATTGAACATCTCTTTTTACTGCTTGCTCAGTTTTCTAATCTATATGTGTGTGTATATATATTTTTTCCTTCCTTTTCTTTTTCACCCCATTTCATTTCCTTTTTTATTCTTTTGAACTTTTTGTTCCTTTTCTATTTCTCCCAACTAGTGACATCATGGAATTTAGTTACATTTGTTTTGAATGGTATTTTAAAAATAACATTATGCAAATATTTATGTTTCAGATTTTAGGTGAAAAATGAGCCAAATGCATTCTTTCTGGAGAAATTTAATTTGACAGTTCTCTCCTTTTTGAAAAGGGGTATGGGATGAATTAATTTTTTTTAAATACCATTCTCACCATTCCATGAACCCTTTGTCACTTGTCTCTCTTCAGAGATTTTAATCTATTTTTTAGACTAGTAGTCTTTTCAAACAGCTACTAAAGAGAAATATAATTTGATTTTGTTTTGTTTTTTCTTTTTGTTTTATTAGGTTTTGATGATAACTGATTAAAGTGGTATCTTTTTTTTTAGGTATCTATTTATTAATTCAATTGTTTATTTTTATAGATTCTCATGGAGAACACTTCCTTATTTTGGCAACTTATTAACATCATATATTTGGGAGAAGAAAGAATAACAAATGATGAATATAGTGAATCATATCTGTGACAGAGTTGGGAGGGAATCACCCAAAAATAATTACTCTCTTTGTATGGAATAGAGTTTTTTGATGAAAAATGTGTGAATATATAGGAATATATTCAGTATAGGAATATATTTCAAGCACATAAGTTTAAAAGTATATGTGTAAGTTTGTCAAGGGGCAGTAGTATTCTTTAATATATATTTAAAGATACATTTTGAAAATAACAGATTTTTATGTAATTATTTGCTTCTAGTGTACACTGCCATGGGGGACACTATCTAGTCTAAAATTAGACAGTCGAAAAGATAGTGATGATGGTCCCATCATGTGGGTACGCCCAGGAGAACAAATGATCCCTGTGGCTGATATGCCAAAGTCACCTTTCAAAAGGAAAAGGTATGTTGGATACAAATTTGTATTGCTGTGTGTATGTTTGTGTGTATAATTGGAGGGAGAAGAAGGGGAAAGTTTAGGGCATAATTGGGGTTTGAATTAAAAAATGGCTACATATGCTGATACAGTTTTTAAAAATATATCAAATATAAATAAGACATTAGAAATATAAGCAAATAACAATAAACGAATTAGATATGGAAATATTGTCATTCACAGTAGAGATATTATAAACTATTTGGAATAAGTTTAATAAGAAATATTTAGGCCCGGCTGGTGTGGCTCGGTGGTTGAGTGTCGACCCATGCACCAAGAGGTCACTGGTTCAATTCCCGGTCAGGGCACATGCCCAGGTTATGGGCCAGATCCCTAGTGGGGGGCATGCAGAAGGCGGCCAATTGATGTCTTCTCATCGATGTTTCTAACCCTCTCTCCCTCTCCCTTCCTCTCTCTCTAAAATCAATAAAGAAGAAGAATAAAAAGAAATATTTAGAAACCATGTTAAGAAAAGTAAAACATAGAGGATATAAAATAAGATCTAAACAAATGGAAAACCCTACTGTATTTTGGATTGGATAAAAATGATATTCCTGCCCGACCTGCGTGGGTCAGTGGATTGAACATCGTCCCATGGACTGAGAGGTCCTGGTTCAGTTCCTGGTTGATCAATGTTTCTCTCTCACATCTATGTTTCTATCTCTCTCTCCCTTCCTCTCTCTATAAAAAAGTCCTTTGAAACTTTTAGCATTTCAATTGGACTAATACTTCTAGCACTGGATAAAATTTTTAAAAGTTTTTAAGGAAGAATAAAGCCAGCAAATAGCCAAGAAAATTGTGAAAGAGAAATAAGTGAGGGGTCCTTGGTTTGTTAATAGGTAATAAAAATTACTATCAAGCTCAAAAAGATCTTCAGAATAGGATAGAGTACACAAACAGATCAAAGAGATCAAAGTATATTGGGAAAGGGAAGATTTATTTAATGAATTAAGACTTATTTATTAAGATTGATTTATTTTGCCCAGCTGGTATGGCTCTGGATTGAGTGACCTCCCATGGACTGAAAGATTCTCAGTCATGGTACATGCCTGAGTTGCAGGCTCCATCCCTCATGGGGGGCCTGCAGAAGGATCAGTGTTTCTCTCTTGCATTGATGTTTCTCTCTCTCCCTTTCCTCTCTCTCTAAAAATTCAATAACATATGTAAATAAAAAAAGATTTATTTTGACACATTTGCATTAAAGAATATGGTGAAATAGTTAAAATAAATGAATTGTTTATGTTTGTTGATCTGGAAGGATATTCATGACCCTTGAAAAGAGTAAAATGTAGAGTAATATGTGCGGTATGATTCTGTTCTTATGAGGAGAAATGAAAAACATGTATAAATATATATATGAGCACAGAGAAAAGTGTAGAAAAATGTACACTAGGTTAACATTGAGAGAAACAGAGTGGGTGATGGCTGGGGAAAATAATACATTTTTCTTAGATAACTAAAAATGGTTTCACTGGTCATAGAGATAATTAATTTAAAAAGGAAAAAAACAACAACAGAGAAATGGTCATTGAGAAACTATATGAGAAACTGCATGAGGGCAGGGACTGCGTTGTGCTTTTTACTAATGAGTCTCTAGAACCTAAAGAGTGCTTATTGCTAAGTAAATTTTTAATGGTTGAATGAAATTTTTATAAGATAATTTATAAGTAGTTGGTAAGTAGTAAAATTGGTGTTTCTTAGTGGTTCTTAACTTGGATTTATAAATCATTCTGAGAATTTGAAAGCCTTACCCAGAATGATAAGGATATGTATAACCTTTTCCATATAATTTAAGAGAGTTCAGCAGCCCCTTAAGGAATTAGCCTGCACCTCAGGGATTACAAATCTGTGGTATATGTGATAATTTGATATCACCTTCCAGTATGAAGAAACTAATAGCAACATTGCCCTAAGCACTATGCTAAGTGCTTTATATAAAGTCTTAATTCATTAAAATGTGATGTTAATGATACCAAACTTGTGGGCTTGAAAGCCTCTTAGTTTTCCACAGGAAGCAATATCATCCACCTTTCTGACACCATTAGAACATTAATCGCAAAGAGCAAAAAAGTTATGACATCATCTGTGTGTGTATGTGTAATAAGACTGTAATGCAGGAGTGCACAAAGAGCAGTAATTTGTAGAGATTGATGGTGGAAAATTAGAGAACTAATAAGGAAGAGATCCTAAGGGATAGACTAGGATGACAGGAGAAAATTATGGGGCAATCTGTATTTGTCTTTGAAAGTAACAGAAAAACCATACAGAAAGATAATTAAGATGATGATTCTTAGTCAAAGAGATTCTTCTCACCCTTTTCCCCTTCTACAGCAAAATTGGAGAGGGTTTTTGCAATGAATGAGGCTAAGTCAGCAGCTTCTGTGCACATGTGAATTCTAGGTGGTGAGCAGTGGAGGAGAGGGCCAATGGGAGATGGCTGTCCTCTAAGAGGGAGCTAAAGTTTTCTTTCAACCTCCAATAAGTCATGCATGTTTTTTGGAGGCACTTAATGCTCATTGTTTTCTTGCTTTTTTTTTTTTTGGTCTTCCTGTCACTAGAATATAAACTGCCACAAGAGTAGGGAACTTGTTTTATTCACTGTTGTCTTGTTCTCTAGCTTCAGTGCCTAGATAATACCTGACATATGGTAGATGTTCTGTAAATATTAAATTAATGCATTTTTTTAAGTTACCTGTTTGTTCCAGATATATACCTTGTGTTAGACATGTGACCTGATTGGGGGCATGCTACCACAGGTTAGACCCAAACTTCAGATAAATATTCTGGGTACGTACAGGGAATCCTGGGTAAACCACACCATCTGTAATTTAGTTTCTTATCCAAGATATATTGCCTTAAAACTTCCACTTATGGCCCAGGCCAAGGGTCTTAGTTGGTTGGAGCATCATCCTGTACACCAAAAATGTTGTGAGTTCAATTCCCGTCAGGGCACATACCTAGGTTGCAGGTTTGATCTCTGGTAGGGGTGCATACAGGAAGCAATAGATCAGTGTTGCTCTGTCACATCAGTATTTCTCTCTCTTTCTAAAATTCAATAAAAACATCCTTGGGTGAGGATTAAAAACAAACAAAAAAAACCATTCACTTATAAAGGGTGTGTTAAGAAAAGGAGTGGATTATATATGTATTGTTTGTATTTGTTCAACTTAAAAATAGAACTTGGTTTGGGAGCAGATGATTTAAAATGTTCTTTCTCTGAATTATGTGGTTACTAAATGCTTGTTGGCAGTACATCAAGACAAATGTTTGAGGGCAGTTAAGCCTTAACACATAGGCCTATCCACCTCCCCTCTCCCCCTGTCTATATAATATATATATATAAAATATAAATGTAATTTTTTTTTAAAAACAGAACTACCAATGAAATAAAAAACCTGCAGTACCTACCTCGAACTAGTGAGCCCCGTGAGATGCTCTTTGAAGACAGGACAAGAGCTCATGCAGATCATATAGGACAAGGTTTTGAACGACAGACTACAGCTGCTGTTGGAGTGTTGAAGGCTGTGCACTGTGGAGAGTGGTACATATTAACTACTGCTTTTTTAATGAAATGTTTTCTTGGCTTCTACAATTTTCTTGGGAAGTTTCTCAGAAATTTTCCTTACTGTGGGAAGTGGGATGGGGGAGTACTTTCTTTGTATTTGAATATTATAACTGACTGCACTAAAAAAGATTTTCAGTTGCTAGAACCTAGTCTTTTGGGTTTGACTGAAATAATTTCATTTCTAAGTAACTAGAGGTGAAAACAATTATCTAAGGTAACAGAAAAACTAATCTTCATTTGGTGTACTCTATGCCCACTTACAAATGTTCATTTGATTTTTCTCAACTAATCCCAGGCCCATATTTGTCACACAAGGAGGCTTAAGGCTGTCAAATAACATTATCATAGTTATACAGTTAATAAGTAGTAGAGCTGAGACTGACTTCAAATCTGACTCCAGACTCTTGTGTTTTCTCTTTACACTATCCTACTTGCTGTTCCCTGCAAATGTTTGGTATAGTAATTTTTTCCAGCTTCACTTGCAAGTTTCACCTTGAATCTTTTTATAGATTAAAAAAAAATTCTCTTTATATATTTAAGGTATCATTCCATAATTAAGAAAATTTCCATTTATTGATAAAAAAACATAGCAAAGCTATATTGATACTGTAAGATAAGTTTACTCTGTTAGGTTTTTGTTTTCAAACTAAGTACTATTTAGATATGAAACTTAAGTTAAAATATACTATTTTACTTATTAAAGCAATTGAACTAGAAACTAAATATGTAAGAACATTTTCTAAGTAAAAGTCAACTTTTAAATCCTGAAAATATAAAATTTCAATATTGTATAGTTTTCTAAGATATTATAAAAAATATAACTTGTATTTTCTGTGTGAGGAAATTTTATCTTCAAGGGCCACCAATACAAAGTTGACCTTTTGTGAATTTATAATATTTTATAAATAATATGAGTGGGGAAGCCAACATAAACTGACCTTTCTTAACATAAATGAAACTTTATCCATTTCATGTATACAAAGTAGCTAGTACTGAACTAACCCTAAGAGATCTTAAGAAAACAATACTAATAGTTTATAATTCAATAATAATTTATGAATGGTGTTTAGCTTAAATGGTTATTTTCAAATATCTGTGCTTATTTCCATATAGTTTCTGTGCTCTTTCTATAATCTGGTTTAAAACACTAAGTTTATCTCTGAAATAATTACAAACTCCTAGTTCAATTAATGAAATTTCTATTGAATGTTTGATATAAAGGATTTGATAATGGCATCAAGAATTATTGCCCTGGCTGGTTTGGCTCAGCGGTTAGAGCATCGGCCTGCGGTCTGGAAAGACCCAGGTTCGGTTCCCGCTAAGGGCACGTATCTTGGTTGTGTTTGTCCCCGGCCCTGGTTGGGTCGTGCGGGTGGCAGCCACTCGATGTGTCCCTTTCACGTCGATGTTTCTCTCTCTCTCTCCCCCCCTCCCACTCTATCTGAACAAAATATCGAAAAATGTCCTCAGGTGAGGATAAAAAAAAAAAAGAAGAAAAAAAAAAGAATTATTTAGGGCCCTTGCCTGTGTGGCTCAGTTGGTTGAGCATCGTCCCCTGCATCAAAAGGTTGCAGATTCAGTTCCTAGTCATGGCACATGCCCAGGTTACAGGCTTGATCCCCAGTAGAGGGTGTGCAGGAGGCAGCTGATCAGTGTCTCTTTCACATCAATGTTTTTCTCTCTCTCTCCCTTCATCTCTCTTCTAAAATCAATAAAAACATATTTTTTAAAGAATTATTTAGGGTGGCCCTGGCCAGTTTGGCTCAGCGGTTAGAGCGTCGGCCTGCGGTCTGGAGAGACCCGGGTTTGGTTCCCGCTAAGGGCACGTACTTCGGTCGTGCGGGTGGCAGCCACTCGATGTGTCCCTTCACGTCGATGTTTCTCTCTCTCTCTCCCTCCCACTCTATCTGTACAAAAAATGGAAAAATATCCTCGGGTGAGGATTAAAAAAAAAAAAAATCAGAAAAAGAATTATTTAGGGTGAAATCTAATTTAGAGTGTTCAGTAAAGTTAGCTACATACATATTTACACTTTCTTTCAGAGATAAATATTCCTGCTTCATGGCCTTAACACTTTGTTAAAATCTCTTTAAGCTTAAATTATTGTTGGTATGTACTCTCTCCTCCACTATATGTGTGATTTGAGATTAGAGATTGTGTGATGTCCTTCACAGGCCCATCGTAGTTCCCAATAAATATCTATTGAATAAAAGAATACTTTGTGGCTAGCAATTTCATAGTGTAGGGACTACACTACTATACTATTAAGTTAGGTGGCTAGATTTAAGAATATGTTTGAGACAGATTTTATTTTATTATTTTATTTTTTTGTAAGAAGTTTTCATTTTAATTGATTTGTTTAAAGACGTTTGCTAAAAGCAGCTAACCGCTGAGCCAAACCGGACAAGGCTTGACACAGATTTTATTTTATTTTATTTTTTTTTTTTTATCCTCACCCAAGGACACTTTTTCATTTTTTGTTCAGATAGAGCAGGAGGGAGAGAGAGAGAGAGAGAAACATCGATGTGAAAGGGACACGTCAAGTGGCTGCCACCCGCACGACCAACCAGGGCCGGGGACAAACTGCAACCAAGGTACATGCCCTTAGCAGGAACCGAACCCGGGTCTCTCCGGACCGCAGGCCGACGCTCTAACCGCTGAGCCAAACCGGCCAGGGCGGCTTGACACAGATTTTAGAGTGAGATATGAGTTTTCCCACTGTTGTAAAATACAATTTGTTTCTTTTATTAATGCTGCTTTAATCTTTTAATACTAAAGATGGCAAGAAAATAATTTTGTGTTCTTGTGCTATAAGATGGCTTCATGACTCTGATATAAACATGGTTTATGGTCCCTTTATTATTATTCTTTGGTTTTAAATTAAGCTCTACTAAGGAAGTTGATGCTTCTTTTTTTCCCTCAGCATTTGGAATTCTGCTTTTTTTCTCAAGAAGACATTAGGTATTAGAGTACTAAATTCCTGACTTTATCTTAAAGCCAGGCTTAATACCAGTTTGAAATAAAAGACTAGTATTGATTTAGACTTTATAGAAATCTTCAGCTAGACAGGCTTATGAAGTATTGATCAAATTAAATGGCTCTTTAGGTATTATGAAGGATTCATATGCAGGGTGGGGCAAAAGTAGGTTTATAGTTCATGTGGAAAATAATACAATAATTAATAAATAGTAATACAAAAATTATTTTGCATACTCACAACTGTAAACTTATTGTGCCCCTACCCTGTAGATTTATATATTTGAGGTTGCTTCTTTGAAATTCAGTTATTGGAAAAATCAACCATTGAAGTATAATTTATATTGAATAACACACATGCTCATTATAAGTATATAGTTTGATGTGTTTTGACAAATGTATATAGTCATGTTACCACTACCGCAACTAAGATAATAGAACATTTTTTTCCCCTTCATATCCCTTAGCAGTTAATATCTCCCATTCTTACCTCAGCTCTAGACATTCTTGAATCAGGTTTCTTGTCTTCATAGGTTAGTATTGCCTAGTCTAGGATCTTAGGTAAATAGGATCATACATGATGCCTGACTTCTTTCGCTCAGCATGTTTTGAGATTCAATCTACATTGTTACATGTATTAGTAGTTCATTTCTTCTTGTTGCTGAATTGTATATATATTATTATATGGATATATAACAACTGATTTATTCATTCATCTGATGGTAGACTTTGAGTTGTTTCTAGTTTTATGAATAAAGCTGTTGTGAATATTCACTTACAAGCCTTTACATACACATGATTTTATTTTAGTAAATACATAGAAATGGAATTACAGGGTCTTAGAGTAAGACAAAATAATTGTGTACAGAGAAAATTTTAAGTCTACAAAAAGTACTAAAATTAATAAGCAAATTTATCAGTCTTGGGATAACACAATATTAAAAGTCTATTGTATTTCTATGTATTAGCAATAAACATTTGAAAAATGTAGTAGAAAAAACAATGCCACTTACAATAGCATAAAAACCTGACATACTTAGATAAATTTGAAAAATATATGACAGATGCTGAAAACTACAAAACACTACTTAGAAAAATTAAGGACTTACATAAATGGAGCCATGTACCTTGTCTATGGATTGGAAGACTCAATATTATGTCAATTCCTTCCCAAATGATCTATAAATCAACCCAATCATAATTCAAACCCAACACATTTTTCTTATAGAAATACAAAGAACCTCATATAGGAAAAACAGTCTTGGAGTGGTGGGGGAAGGATAATGTTGGAGGATTTACACTACACTGCCTGTCATTTTAAAGCTTACTTTGAAGCAATAGTAATTAATAGAGGGTGGTATTGGTATAAAGATAAACTAAGATTAATGGAACAGAATAGTATCCAGTGCTGATTGATTATTAGTGAAGTTGCCAAGCTAATTCAGTGGGGAAAGGAGTCTTTTCAAGAAATGGTGCTAGAAAAACAGGGCATCCATACACAAAAACAAAAATGAAAAACAATGAACTTGATTCTTATGTCACACCATACAAAAATATTAAAATGGATCATAGAACTAAATGTAACTATTAAAGCTATAAAACTTGTAGAATAAAACATTGGAGGAAATTTTACATTAAGTAAAAGTTTCATGAATCATAAGAAAAAATGATATAATTAAGATAATGAGCCCTGGCTGATGTGGCTCAGTGTTTAGAGCTTTGGCCTAACCACCTAAGGGGCTCAGGTTTGATTCCTAGTCAAGGGCACGTTGCCATATCTGGGTTGCAGGTTTGATCCTGGCCCCAACAGGGGTGTGTGCAGGAGGCAACCAATTGATGTTTTTCACACTATGTTTCTTTCTTCCTTCCCCTTCCTTCCCTCCCTCCCTCCCTCCCTCCCTCCCTCCCTGCCACTCTCCCTGAAAAAATCAATGGAAAAAATATCCTCAGGTGAGGTGAGGATTAATAAAACAAAACAAAAAAGCTAATGAAAAGTGGGTTGCAGACTGGGAGAAAATATTTGAGGTGGGTGTGTGTGCATATTTGTGAATGACATACCTAAATATATAAAGCACTCTTAACAATTCAAGAATAAGGAAACAACCCTGGCTAGTGTGGCTCAGTTAGTTGGGCATCATCCCGTGATTCAGTTTTGGGTCAGGGCACATGCCCAGGTTGTGGGGCATGTAGAGGCAGCTGATGGATGGTTCCCTCCCATATCGATGTTTCTCTCTATCTCTCTCTTGTATCTTCCTCTCTCTTTAAAAATCGATAACAATATATATTTTTTAAAAGTATAGCAGAGTGGCAAACATTGAAAAAAAGTAAGACAACAAAGAATCCAATTAAAATTGGGCAAATATTTGAACATACATTTTTAAAAAGATGCACAGATGCTCTTTATTTATTCTTTTTGAGGAAAAAACTTGTTCTTCTTATATAAATATTGAAAACTAAGTTTCTGAGCACCACTTCAGCTCTATTCTACAAATGTTGACTTTAAAAGTTGTTCCGTATAATTGTACCATAAGAAAATTGTAGATTAAAACTACAGTGAGATAGCACTACATACCCACTAAAATTGCTAATAATAATTTTTTATTTTATTAAAAAATTTTTTTTTATTGATTTTAGAGAGAGAGGAAGGGAGAGGGAGAGATAGAAACATCGATGAGAGAGAACATCAATTGGCCGCCTCCTGCATTCCCCCCACTGGGGATCAGGCCCATAACCTGGGCATGTGCCCTGACCTGGAATCGAACCGGCGACCTCTTGGTGTATGGGATTACACTCAACCAACTGAGCCACACTGGCCAGGGCAATTTTGGCAGTTTCTTATAAAATCAAACATATACTTACATCAAAGATCCTGTAATTCCATTTCTGTTTCTGGGATTAAAAACCTCTTTTGGGCCCAGTCAGTGTGGCTCAGTGGTGAGCATCAACCCATGCACCAAGAGGTCGCCAGTTTGATTCCTGGTCAGGGCACATGCCCAGGTTGTGGGCCTGGTCCCAAGTGGGGGCATGTGAGGGGCATGCAGGAGGCGGTCGATTGTTGTTCTTTCATCGATGATTCTGTCTCTTTCTTCTCCCTTCCTCTCTCTCTAAAATCAATAAAGAAAAAAATATTTTTAAAAACTTCTCTTGGTTATTTTGTATTATCATACATACTTGTATATGGTTATATACATATATGACAATATGGAATAACCAAGAGCAGGTATGTGTGTATATCTGATATATACCTAGTTCTAGACATAATTATATATGGTATATTATATATATACATCTGATAATATTTACGATAATACACTAAATAGTGCTGGATTCAACATGCTAATATTGTTAATGATTTTTATATTTATATTAATGTCGTGCCAGAATTCATTAATTTTATTGATCTTTTCCATGAATCAGCCATTTATTTCATTGATTTTTTTTCTATCTTATTTTCTATTTTATTGTTTCTGGTCTTTATTTTTTTCTTTTAAGAAAGAACTTGCTCTTCTCTTTCTAGCTTAAGTTAGAAGCTTAGATTATTGATTTGAGACTTTTTCTAATGTAGGTATTTAAAAGTAAAATTTAAGCACTATGTTAGCTATATTCCACATATGTTGATCTTGAGTTTTCATTATTACACAGTTCAGAATTTTAAACATTTTCTGGTGTCTTTTAAAAAATACTGTGGATTATTGAGAAGAAGAATGCTGTTTACTTTTCAATATTTGAAAACTTCTTTCCAGATATTTTGGGGGCGTTGTTGTTGATTTTCAGTTTAATTCCCTTGTGGCCGGAGAACATATTCTGTATAATTTGTCTTTATTTACTGGGGTTTGTTTTATGGACTATCTTGATGAATGTTCTGTCTGCTGTTGGGGTATAGTGCTCTATTAATGGCAATTAAGTCAACCTTGTTGACAATGTGGTGCAAGTCTTCTGTATTCTTACTTACTTTGTCTTGTTATTAATCTCCAACTGTAACTTCGGATGTGATTGCTTCCCCTTTCAGCTTTGCTAGGGTTTTTTTGTTTTGTTTTTTCTGCATGTATTTTTCTTTGGTAATGGCTTTATTGAGGTATAATTCACATAACATACACTTCACCCATTTAAAGTATATATAATTCAGTGGATTTGAGTATATTCACAGAATTGTGCAACTATCACCACAATTACTTTATTACCTCAAAAAGAAATATACCTTGTTTATGGATTGGACTTTTTGGCTATTACATCTTCTTCAACTCTTAGGCAACCATTAATCTGCTTTCTTCTCTATTTCTTATCATTAGTGTTTGCATGTTATATCTTTGTCCATTCTTTGTCTTTTCACCTGTGTGTCTGTATTATTTTATGTAGATACCACATATCTTGTTTTTAAAAATTCAGTGATAAACTGCTTTTATTTTATTTCATTTTATTTTTTTTCCTCACCCGAGGACATTTTTCCATTTTTTGTTCAGATGGAGCGGGAGGGAGAGAGAGGAACAGAGAGAGAGAGAAACATCGATGTGAAGGGATACATCGAGTGGCTGCCACCCACACGACCAACCAGGGCCGGGGACAAACTGCAACCGAGGTACGTGCCCTTAGCGGGAACCGAACCCGGGTCTCTCGGGACCGCAGGCCGACACTCTAACCGCTGAGCCAAACCGGCCAGGGCATAAACTGCCTTTTAATTGGAGTATTTAGATCATCAGTAATTTTGGATTTAAATTTACCATCTTTTCCCCATTTGCTTCTTGATTTTTATTCTTTCCCCTCTTTCCTATCTTTTATAGCATTCCGTTATACCTTCACTATTTGCTTATTAGTGGTTGCTCTAAAATGATCACAATCTAGCTTCAAATATATATCTCTCTATGTCATGTGTTAAGAACCTTTCAATAGCATACTGCCATTTATCCTCCCTCCCCCATTTCTGGACTGTGTGCTAATTATTGTCATACATTTGTACTTTACATATGCTATAACCTCCCCCACCCCCGCCTCAATATGCTACTTTAGCTATAAGGAAGTATTTCCAAAGGGATTGTAAAAGTGAGAATAAAATACCCCCATATTTACTATTTCTTGTGCTCTACATACCTTTGAATAGATCTACATTTTCATCTAAGTATCATTTTCCTTCAGTCTGAAAAAAGTCCTTTAACATTTTTGTGCTGGTCTTCTGGTGATAGATTCTCTCATCTTTTGTTTGTCTGAAAATGTTTTTATTTCTCATTTTTAGAAGGTATGTTTGGTAGATACAGAATTCTAGATTGACTTTTTCTTCTAATATTTTAAAAATAATTGGTTCTCTTCTGGCTTGCATTGTTTTTGAGGAGAAGCCTGCAATCAATCATCTTTATCCTTCTTTTTCTGTATATGCATGTGTTTTAGATTTTCTCATAAAAAAATTGTTTATGACTTGCCTTGGAATGACTTTTTTTGTATTTAGTTGCTTAGAATTTTATCCCCAAATCTGTTTTTTGTTTTTAGCATTTTCTATAAAAGTATATTTGTATATTCCTAATTAATTGAAGAACTTGGATATTTTTTCAAAGGATTATATTTAAAGATAAGCAAACAGAGTGGTAATAGTTTATTTTATTAGTACTTTTTAAATGAATATTTCTTAATTTATTAAGGGTTATTTAGGGGCTTTAGGTGTCATTGTAATTATATATGTCTTTATTGAAAGTACTCCCTTTTCCCATATTTAACTCTAATTTTTATATAATATTTTCTTTTTTATTTTTTAATATGTTTTTATTGATTTTTTTTTTTTTTAAGTTGGGGGAAGGGAAAGGGAGAGAGACAAAAGCATCGATGTGAGAGAGAAACCTAGATTGGCTGCTTCCTGCATGCCCTTATACTGGGCATGTTGCCCTGACCACAAATTGCACCATAACCCCCTAGTGCACGGGGATGACACTCAAGCCACACTGGCTGGACATATATAGTATTTTCACTTGAAGACAAAATACTTAGGTTTTTGACTTGCATAATTAACCATTTCAAATTGTTTTAAGTTTTCAAAATATGGTTACACATAGCTATAATACAATGAAGTGAATTTTTTATGTTGAAACTCATGGCATTATCCTTTTGTTTAAATTATGTCAAATGGTCTGCTAATTATAATTTAACTCTACTTCTAAGGCATTACTTTGGTTTTGACTGTAAACTATTTTTACTTTTAAATTAATAAGGACTTAACAGAGTGAAATATTAATGGCAGATTTTTCCTTATGTCTTCCTTTTTTAAGGCTTGATCAACCCCGAATAACCAAAGATGTCATTTGTTTTCATGCTGAAGATTTCTTAGAAGTAGTTCAACGAATGCAGTTAGATTTACATGAACCTCCACTGTCCCAGGTATATTTTAAACCATTACTGTCTTCAGTTTAATTTTTATTGTGAAAAAGATTTATTAGTATTCCTTATTTCTTTTTTTAGTGTGTCCAGTGGGTCGATGATGCAAAACTTAATCAACTGAGAAGGGAAGGCATTCGCTATGCCAGGATTCAGCTGTATGATAATGACATTTATTTTATTCCAAGGAATGTTGTTCATCAGTTCAAGACAGTTTCAGCTGTATGCAGTTTAGCGTGGCACATTCGGCTCAAGTTATATCACTCAGAGGAGGACACTGCTCAGAATACAGCTACTAATGAAACAGGCACATCACCAGATTCCACATCATCAGTTCTTGGACCTCACACTGACAACATGAATTGTGCTATAAGCAAAACCTCTTTGGAGTCTATTTTTTCAGACAAACTTCATTCTAAATATGAAGTACAACAGATTAAACATGAACCTGTTGCATCTGTAAGAATCAGTGAAGAACCTGTGAATGTTTATGTTTCTGAAAAGACTAGAGCACCGAATAATATGGATGGCAAGAATGTTAAAGCAAAATTGGATCATGTTCAATTTACAGAATTTAAGATTGATGTGGACTCCAAATTTGAAAATAGCAACAAAGATTTAAAGGAGGAATTATGTCCTGAAAGTCTCTTAAGTCTGGTTGATACAAGGCAACATAGTTCAGTACATTCAAATCAAGATAGAAAAGATGATGATGTTTTGTGCTAAATATGTACATACCATTTAAAATCCTTTTTTTGGCGGGAAAAAAATTTTTAATAATGTAATAAAGATTCATGAATTATAAAAAGCAAGCCAAGGACTTGCTCCCAAGTCTGTTACAAAATATAGTTTATGTAGCTTTGTAACATTCCTCAGTGCCTGTCCATAACTGTGAAGTATCAAAGCACTTAAGGCCAGATGCACTGTAAACATTGCAGGTTTAAACAAATGGAGTCTTTAAAATGTCATTTGAGTTGGAGTTGTAGGTTTTAGAATAGAGCTGACATTAACATATATATCTATATATTTTGTAATATGAGCCAGAATTCTCTTTCAACAACTTAAGGCTTTTCCATAGAGCTTATTTATATCAATTTTTTTTTCATTTTAAATGTGTCAGCACTGTAGTGTAAATAGCTTAAAATTTTTTTAGTATGATTTATATTGAAATGTGAGTCACTTAATAAAGGTTCATAATAAATATGTTTTCTGTTGGGTGTGCAAACGACAAACTGACAATTCAGTTAAATCATTTATTAGATTTATTATGTGTCTGCTGGTGTATTCAATTAAAGTGGTAAAGGAATACAAATGTACATACTCAAATCTAGTGAATATTTAAATTCCCCACATTGTGCAAGCATTTTAAAAATCAAGATTTAGTTATGGAAGCATATTTATATGTGTGTGTATGTATGGGAATATATATGTATATCATATTTTACATAACTTCTTAAATTGCTAAATAAGATGAATATGTGAAAATTCCTAGCCCTGTTCCCTGGAATACATTTTTAAATATTTATATTTAACATTAAGAAAGCAGTTTAGGTAATAGAAATAATTTTGTAAAGTTGGGCAAAACAAGGTCTGTTAGTAATTATCTAACCCTTCTGATTAATGAAGTTTTGTTGCCAGATTACATAGCCCTAACATAAATTTTCTTTGTAGTGTACGGAATGATAAGAAGTTGAGAAAATTTTTTTATTAATAGGCATCTTTGCTATACTTAATAGCAGCTGAGTAAAAAATATTTATAGAAAGTATAATTGTGAGCATTTTAAGTCCTTTTACATTTTTTTTGAAGAACAGAAGAAAATATGGCAAGTATAAAATCTTAAAATAAGGATGACTCATACAGAGATGTAGCTAACAAATGTGTTATCCCTTTCTAAGGATCCCTCTGCCTACCCTAGCAAAGTAAATAACTTAGAGTACCGTTAATCCTTGAATAATGTAGATTTGAATTACACAGGTCAGTTGGAAAAAATCTGTGTGTAAGTGGACCCATGCAGTTCAAACTCTTGTTCAAGGGTCAACTGTACTTCTTTTTCAAAAGAAGTTCTAGAAAGTAAAATTGGGGTAGGAAACAAGATTGCCAGTACCTAGCTAAATATGATTAAAACAAATATCTTCAATGACTGACTTCAGCACTGTTTCAAACTGCTTCCACTACTGTAATTAAAAATCAAACAAATGTTTTTAAATGTATGCTTTGACATAAGCAATTCTGCTCATTGCAAGTCTATTTTACTTGTCTTTGTTATTTTTCTAGGCTTATGCTTTGGTTGGTAACTTTCAACTGGGATTCCTTGTGCTGCCATTTAGGCTAGAGTTGCTATTCCCATTTCATTGGTTTCTGCTCCAGCCTCATTTGTGGTACCCATAAAATTGCTTATCTTGCTGGTTCGGAAAAAGCCACTTAGAAAGAGGCATTTCATCAGAAAAAAATAAACTCTAGCATGATGTCATTTTTGGCCCCCAGTTTAAAAGGGTAGGCAAATATCGTTGGAAATCTAAGTGGTTTGTAGGAAATCAATATATTTGCAACATAGGAATATTCATGGAATAAGGAAGGTATAAATCATGATAATGTAAATAGGGACTTTCTTTTATATCTTACTGTCTTATCCTACTCCTCACTTTAATCTTCTCTTTAAAGCTAAATTTATGTATTTGCATCTGCCATTTTGGGAGACAAGAGTTAATAACAAACCAGTATTGAGAAATAGTAGGGGATGTTTTTCTAGTTTTTCTTTTTTAATTGAAGGGTAATACATTTTAAAAGATTTGTTTTAGTTCCAATTTTCCAGTAGCATACACATAGATACATAAGAGCGTACTGTAATAAAATGTCTTTAGAGTATACCTCCAAAATATATGAGCCTTAATTAAACTTATAAGTTAAAGATATATCTAACACAACAATAGCAGGTACTTATAGGTATTATTCCCTATATAACCTAAAGTCAAATCTTTCCAACTTTTGAAAATTTGTTTTGTAAAATGCATACATTTTTGTAGATGTGAAATATAAATCAGTGGGTTCAGATTTCAAGAGATAGCCTGGTCATATTGAATAATGCTTACTGTTTCTTGTCTTACAGGTTATAATTTTAAAATCCTCTTCAGATGCAATCTGAGAACTTTCTGACTACCTTTGTTACACACAAATAATTTCTATTTCAATATTGCATTATATTAATGGTTTCCTAGTTAGTACATTCCAGTTCTTTATCTGAACATACATTTTTTTGCTATTATTTTTAATTTCTTGGACCGAAAAATAAAGCACTTAAGATACAGTTTCTATATGATCTTATATAGAATAAACAGTTGTTATATAAATTATTAAATTAATACACAGACCGTTACAAAAAACTAAGGTACCTTGGTGGTACTTTACTTTTGTTCATACCCTTTTAACTATCTTATAAATATTCCATACTCAGGTTAGTTGTTTAGGTTGCAAAAGAATTAAGCGTTTGTGATAATTAGTTGAAAACTTTACAAAAGCCATATTCATTATCTTTCTTGTCAACAAGACTGTTGACCTTCAGTAAAGATTAGGTTAATCTAGCACAACATTCTCTGTGTGTGTGTGTGTGTGTAAGATTATTGGAAATAATTATGTTTGTTTCCACATATTCATTTTTAATCTGTTCTATAACTTTGGGGGGGCAGTCTTGGAAGGTAGGAAAGATTTTATTTCTTGGATTGTCTTCAAGGTATTTCATTAGTGTTCCTGAGTGTAAAACATTTTTTTCTCAAACACACATAGCAGTTGAGATCATTTTTGTAAATAAGAGGTTAGCACTATTTTGATAAATTGCACTCAGTTATTTTTTTTTTTTTGACAAGTTTATTGTCGTGTAAATGAAGTATTTCAATATTCATTTTACATTTAGCAAAGGTGCAAGATTTGTTTTTGGAGTTTGAGAGGAATTTTCCTTTTCTTCCACCTTTCAATAAATACTAACATTGAAAACCATAATCTTTTTTCCTTTGTTTTGTAATTTTCCTTTTTTTACATTTGACATTTATTTTCATCTCGTCGTCTAAAAGTTTGTTTCTCTGTCTTCAACAGAAGCCATAAAGTCTTGAAAGTGATTCCAATAACAAAAGTCCTTTTTTCCTCTTAACTGATTATCATAAATTGACTTATGCTAACAGAAAATATTGAGGATTACTTTAAACAAGTTTGCTAAACTACTTAGGTATGGGTGCTGGGATGGCATGGTAAATTAATCATCTTCCTTCTCTCTAGACATGACTATTTCAATCTCGGGAGGAGGACAAAAGTCCCATTGTTCTCAAAATACTTTGTTAAAAAGTGACAAGAAGGATTTTAGGTCTTCAGAGTAGTAGAATAGTTCTACTTAATCTTCTACCTGATATAATTACATTGATATATAAACAAAATTTTACTGGTTTTAGAATGTATTGTCTATTTCATGAAAGAGTTATATTTGGTATGTTTGGCAGTGACAGTGTAACTCAGATAATTAAGAGGACAGCTCAGGAAAGGTATAGATCCCTTTCTCTGTCCTGGGTTTTCTGTTCAGGTCTTCCTGTAACCCACGACATATTGCAGGTAGAAATGATCACTGTTTAGAATGTCAAGTCCAAGGAGCCTAAAAGCAGAGATAGCTTTCCTTTTTTAGTGTATGACATTGTATGTCATATATATTGGGAGAGCAGGGAAAGGAGAGGAAAGTATCTTGCATTTCAGTTATCTTCCCTTCCAGGACTTAGACCCAATCAAGGAATGTGAATGAGCTGAGGACAAAATACGTAGAAACAATTTATGTTAACTAGAAATTAAAAATAAAATGTACTAGTTGTGTGTTTTATTACTATTATCTGCCTTCCAAAAACACTATTAAAATATGACACGTTCTGTACCTTTTTTTAGAATTTATGCATCCAAGTTTTAAAAATGTTGCCTTTTACACTTTTCTATAAAGTTCATTGCTGTCGTACTACTGAACTACCGAGCATGCAGACTCAGAGTCAAATCAGTATTATTGCAAATATTTTGAGTAATATGGTGTTTGTAATTTTATTTGGACATACAGTTTTATCTCCCCCTTAAGTTTCTTCTTTTCTTGAAATTTTGTTTTTGTTTTTAACTGAGTCAGATTTTTATATGAAAAATTTCAGGTCGGTCTTTTTTTTTACAAAAAAAACCCTTCTCGCCCTGGCTGGAGTGGCTCAGTTGGTTGAGTATCATTTCATGTACCAAGAGGTCGCTAGTTCAAATCCCGGTTAGGGCACATGCCCAGGCTGCCAGCTCGATCTCCAGTGGGTGTGCAGGAGGCAGCTGACCAGTGTATCTCTCACATCAATGTTTCTATTTCTCTCTTCCTTTCTCTCTAAAAAAATCAATAAAAACATTTATTTTATCCTCACCCGAGGACACTTTTGCATTTATCTTCAGATAGAGGGGGAGGGAGAGAGTGGGGAAGAGAGAGAGAAACATTGATGTGAGAGAGACACATTGACTGGTTGCCACCCACATGACCCCAGCTGGGATGGGCACAAACTGCAACCGAGGTACATGCCCTTAGCTGGAACCGAATCCAGGACTCTCTGGTCCACAGGCTGACGCTCTAACCGCTGAGCCAAACCGGCCAGGGCAATAAAAACATTTAAAAAATAAAATAAACCTCTTGAGTTTGGCTTTTGTTTATGCTCTTGTTCCATCTCTATTCCTGATAAGTTTTTGAAAATCTGTCTGCCTTCACTTCCTCATCTCACTACAATTTCATTTTGATCCTCAGATTTCTAATCATTCAGCTAAAATAGTTCTCAAAGGCCACCATTTGCCAAATCCAGCGGCTGCATGTAAAAAAAAAAATTACTGATTTTTTAGAGAGAGAAATATAGATGTGAGAGAGAAACATCGATCAGCTTCCTCCTGCACGCCCCCGACTGAGGATTGAGCCCGCAACCCAGGATGTGCCCTGACTGGGAATTGAACCGGGATCTCTCAGTCAGTCCATGGGGCCATCCTCAATCCACTGAGCCACGCCAGCCAGGCTGGTTGCATTTTTAAAAAATACATTTTTTATTGATTTTTTTTTTTTTTAGAGAGAGAGAGGAAGGGTAGAGGGAGAGAGAAACATTGATGAGAGAGAGAAACATTGACGAGAGAGAAACATGATCAGTTGCCTCCCAAACACACCCTGATGGGACTGAACTGGAAACCTGGGTATGAATGTG